TGACAGTGCTCATACTGTTGCCTGGTACTGTTAAATTTAAACCTGGGCATGCGCTATCTTCCTACCTTACTTATCATCTCTTCCTTGGTAGAGGGTCTGGAGCTATTCTGCCAATTGGGCATGAGGCACATACTAGCTTCCTAATTCTACTTTATTTAACTGTGATGTGAGCTGTGGCATACCTTCTGAAGTGAAGGATGTAGCAATCAGGAAACCGGCAGATCGAGAGCCAGGACCTGCTCTCTGGGAAACCAAGACCTTTGATACTCATCTCTTCCTGGTACCCTGCCTACTCTAGTAATATTTGCATAAAACCAATGTTGTGCATTAAAGAGATGGCTTAACTTCGGCAGGAATATGAAGCTTAGTAAGATGTCTGTAAATACTTTAGGAGTTCTCTGGAAGGACAGTGCCATGTCAACATATTTCACTATGAGAAATTTACATTTATAAACAGATGCTTATGTCCTGAAAGTACTGTGACAGAGTATTACACAGGAATCTTGAATGATGACTTGTTCTGTGCCAGTATTTTTCCTGATTCTGCATTTTCATTGGGACCAGTGGATGCCAAATTTAGATAAGCTGTGTGGTTAATAAGTATCAAGCATTAAAAATAAGATATAAAGATACTCACTGTCTAAACTGTAATGACTGAGCTAACTTCTGGTCATGGTCACGGGGTTGCAGAGTGTATGTGTGTATGTGTGTGTGTGCGTGCATCATGCACACTTGTACAACTCTGAACAAATGAAATAAAGATTCAAAGCTCTTTTTAAATGTGACAAGATGTAATTTCTCCAGCAGAGAGGCATGAGGAGGGTGATTTAGAGTGGGTATGCTTACATAGCATAGAAAGTTCCAGGCGAAGCAGGGAAAGTGCCCTTTGAAGCCCAGCTCTAAGCTGGTGATGTGCTCCACTCCACTGTCACCAGGAGCACACGGTGCCGCAAGCAAACATTTCCAGATCTTTCGAGTGCTCATCTCCTCTTATCAGCTGTCAACTCTGCCTGCTCAGGGGCCTTGGTCTGAGCCCAGGCTTTCTCTGATGCCCAAGAAAAGGGATCCTTTATAGGGTGGGAAGGTTTCTGATGAATTTTAAATGATTAAACAAAAAAACCATGAAATTCCTGGTGGCTCAGATTCTCTTACTTGTTTGTCTCCTATACAGTCTTGCAGAGATGCCCAATAAATTAATTGATGAGTTGAATGAAAATTACAAATTACCAAATAAATGAAAGGAAATGTGTTTCTCTGGTTAGTGAGTACAGAAGATTGCTTATGGGAACCCCAGGTGTTGACGAATTCTGTCCTTTGAGTAATGTGGACAGGCTGCCAAGGGAGTTGAAGATGAAAAGATTAGTTTGGGTCTTATTCTGAGCTTTGGTGGCAACTATGAATATAAAAGGCAGCTAAAAAAACCCAAGGCAGTGGAGATAAACAGCCTGGACACCAACTAAATATTTTCTTTCACATTTTTACCATGGGGTAATCTACTACCAGTACATTGGGAGCATCTAACTAGATCCAGCTAAACAGTTGTAGCAAGGAAAAAAGTGTAAGTCCCAGTAGCAAGCAGAAAGTGTTAAAATAATTGCTAAAATAGCAGTTGCTTTTCTTGTGACAAGTTGTGTAACTAGGTCTGAAAAAGCTCTGTTTTCTCAATTCTAACCTTGTGGAAAATCCTGCCATACTAAAATTCTGCAGAGCAATAGAATTGCATGGGAAATCTCTTCTTCCTGGTTTTAGGTCTCATTGTGACCATCCATAGCATGTCTGCCTTGGGAAGATTTCCTGGTTTGCTTGTGATTTTGTCTTGGGCAATGCACATCATTAGCATACTATACAGGTAGTGTTGGAAGGGTGAAAAGACTCGGGTTTGAAAGGTACTTTAGCTCAAAGTTCCATTTTAATGCTTATTGTATCATGTGACTAAAACTTAGGTAATTAGAGCCTAATTTTTTATAAATATATAAAGTGGATCTAATAAAAGTGTCCCAAGGAGTGTTAAGCCCAGCCCATCACTCAACCTGTAGAACATGTTCCATAAATGTAGGTCTCTTCTCCAAACCAGCGCAATGGATTTGTTCATTAGAACCAATGTATGTCCAGGCAGCACATGCACAAGAAAGAGCTGAAGAGCCTAGAGGTCAGAGGTACCCATGAGTCAGATGGGCTCAAATCCCAGTTCTGTCACCTGTGAGCAGCAGGACTGCAGACAGATAACATAATTCTGGGATTCTTCATTTTAATAAAAGAAGAATATGAGTCAATCTGTGTAGTGGGCTAAGTACAGTCAGCGCCTGACACATGTTACCTGTCATCTCTGTGCATCTCCTAGTCAGCAGAATAACCCTGGATAGGAGCTGGAGAAAAACAAGAGCACAACTCCCAGGGCGAAAAGGATCTAGAAATAAGAACCTCCAGGTGGCATGAAACGTGTGGCTGAGAGAGTCCTAAGTAAAATTCCCAGTACAATATACATATATATAGTACCCCAACCCAAAACTTTACACAAAGGAGATGTGTCATACCATAAGCAATGAAGAGAAAAATATCAAGAGCAGCACAGAGACACAGGGACCTGTCTACCCATCTTAGCCATGGACTTATCCTACAGCTGCAGACTTCTCATCTCCTTCCATTCTCCCAGGAGGGAGGCCACAGGAGCCAAGAAGGACCCAGGGAGGAAAGCTGGGAGGCAAGAACAAAGAAGCACCGCAGATGCAGACTAAACCACACACCTCCACACACGCATATTCAGCAGCAAAGGCCAAGCACGGTCTCAAGGATTTCACAAGAAATACCTCACTGGACATTCCCAGTGGTAAGAGGAGGAGATGCTTGCTGATAGGTGCATAAGTAGGTGATTTCATCATTGTGTGTCCTCACACAAACTAAGGAAGCTGCAGTGTCACCAGGCGACATACCTCATAGGATCGGTGTCTAAGCTGCCTGTTGTTGGCTACACCGTAATTAAGTAGTGAATAATTAGTATTAGCAATTCTACATTAATATTTGTGTTCCTGTTTTACAACTGAAGAAGCTGAGGCAAGGAACTTAACCTGCCTAAATATATACAGCTAACAAATGTCTGAGGATGGCAGGAGAAAACATTTCACAGGAACCATTAGAGAACATGCAAGGGTAAGGAATTCAGGGTTCACAGAGGCAGATCCGGATTCCTCTTTCTTTATCTTCCCCAAAGAGAATGATGTCAAGAAATAGTAAAACTGCATGTATATTTAAGTGTATAGGATAAATAATGATATTACTGCGTTTTGTTGGATCATTGAACAGAACTGTTTGCAGTCTCACTGTTGGAATGTCCACTTTATAAGCTTTAATTTTGTAACTTGAACAACTATTTCTAAGATGACAAAATGTAACCCCTTAACTAGTGATTTCCTACTGTTTTTTTTTCTGTAAATCTGGATAACTTGTACCCTTTCTCTCCTTTTTTTTTCTTTTTCTCCTTAAATAAAATTTTTTTAAAAAAGGAAAAGAAAAAAAAAGAAATAGTAAAACTCTGGGAGAAAGAAGAAAAAAGTGCATTGCAAGAAAATAGCAACCAGGACTTTGCAGTTGAGAATTTCTCAACTCAAGAATCTAAGCCCACTTTGCGGCAAGCAGTACCCTTCCTCTGGACAGCCTGGGCATGGGAGGCCCTGGGGGAAACAGTGCTACCTGGCAGACTCCGTTAATTCTAGAAAACCAAATCTGCCAGTGAGCTCAGGAAGGAGAGCTAAGTACTGGCTGTACACAGGCTGCATAGACCAGACCTTCAGGGAGAAAGGAGCCAGAGTTTGTCTGGAAACTGTTTGGGCACACATATTATACCTAGTTGAATCTAGATGGACTCAGAAGTCCAGAAAGCTTCTTAAATAACCACATCAAAATGGAGTGAGACTCACTTCAATATTCCAGCACTTCCTTTGAATCTGACACTAGTTTCCTGCCCTTCTAGGTCTTGTAAAAGAGACTGCAGAACTAGCATGACAAGCACATTTGAGAATCTCAGCACAAGGCACAGTGTATCATTGACTGATCTTGAACTATCGCTCTTCTGAATGGGTCTGGAAGGGACACTGTCCCCAACCTCCCATGCTGAGTCCTGGGGTCATGAGTGAGCCTTGTGCTTGAACAGTTATTTTTAACCTTGAAGGCATCGTTAACGAGAACTAATAACACATGGGCACTTCCCTGGAATGCAAAAAATGAAAATAAAAACATTCTCCATAATTGGATGTGGGTCACTATCCAGAAGGACTACAGGAGGTTCTGAGGAGATTGAAACATTTCCCCTGACCACCATTACCCAGCTGTCCAACCACAAATGACCCAGTAAAGACCAATGGTCTTTCCCCTCTTCAGCTGTCAGTGCCAAATGTGGAACAACACCGCGCTTCACCACAACACACAGCCCCTGGAGGAAACCTCAGGCCTCACACATCACAGTGCCACTCTCTAACGAGCTAGAAGGCTTATTCCTCTGCAGGGAGTGGAAAACATTCAATTTCAAAAAAGCCCAAGGACAGCCTCTTTCAGAGTCTCCATTTGGAAAAGACATTTAAGCAAAGTTGTACTTGATGAAGTAAAATAGAATTAGCTGCTTCAGTAGCACTGGAGAATGGCTTATTCCCTCCCAAGTGGAACGAACTCAACAACAATATATCACAGTTAACTGTAGCCACAGCTCCACGGAATTTCAACTGGGGCCTAGCACACACTGAGGTGCACTTAATACTCCCCAGTCTGCAATCAGCTTTCTGTGCGTTTGCTCCTCATGGCAGGGTACAGTTTCATCTTAATTAGCTGTTTTCTTATTGTATTATGGTTGGTCATTTCAGTACACCTAATGGACCACTGGGTAGGTTAAATTACAATTAAGGGTCCTTGGGTTTGTTTCCCGGCAAGTCCTGGAGGGTTCTGATTTATTTCCCCTTCCCATTGCTTGATTTAAAGGGCAGAATCACTCAAGACCAAAGACACAGGCTTACCGACTGCAGTCCACGTGTAGCAGGAGGTGCGAGGCACTAACTGACAGAGCCACCTTGTGCCACTGCCCATCTGCCATCCGGTAGGGAAGTGCCTCTGTCCTGGGCCTCCCCTTGTGCATGTAGTGATAGCGAATCTCATCCCGCAGGCCACTGCTCTCCAGCTCAAAATAGCTGCATGCAAAGAAACAAAGTTTGTTTTATTTCCAGTCTGGGTAGCGTGGCTCTCATCAGTCCCCACCTTCTTACTGCAGGTCTTCCAGAACCTAAAATCAGTGAAGCACCACAAAAAAGCCGTGAGCTGAAATCAACTGTACACGTGCAATCCAGCTCACCCACTGTAGGGGAGTCCTTGTGGCAGCACCCTGCACATCTGAATCAGAGACCAGTGGATCCACCTTGAGTAAGATGTCACAGCTAATCAACAAGCCTGGTGCAGGGCTCTGACACACTGAGGAGCACAGCTCAGAGCTCTGCTCCTGTTGTCTGAGAAAGGCCATTCATGTGAAAAGGATGCATTAATGTTTATTTTTAGAACTGCCATTTGAACTTTTTCAACAGTTAATAAAAAATAAAGTTGTATTAGACATTAGAGTTTGAAACACATTGCAGGAGCAAAGGAGTTAGTTAAGCTTCCTTTCTTCATTCTCCTCCTCTTCTTCTTTCCCTCCTCCTCCTCCTCTTCCTCTCTTGCACAAAAAGTTTTAACTGAACAACTCCTAAATGAGTACCAGGGGAAAGAGGTTAAACCTATTCACTTATGATCAGTACTTCAAATTATCGCACAATGCAATGTGCAGTTGGCATCTCTTTCCTGGGATTTTTGTGTTTTCCATCCCCATGAGAAATTCTTAGTGCCAATACTATGATCAGAACTGTAGCCCAAAAGTATAGCAAGTGTGTTTGGGACACGCTTCCGAAACCCAGCAGACCTGGCACCTTCGTGGGTGACAGCAGCATTTCATCTTTGATACCTCTTTCGAGAGGTGTCACTGTAACTGAGGCATCAACACTGGGCATTACCCAGCTGCCAGGCATCACACTAGCAGGTCACTTGCACAATCTAATTTATTGCCCACAAAAACTACATGACCAATATCATTATCCTTTTTCAAAGATTAAAAACAATTGAGATTCAAGGATTAAACAACACATCCAAGACAAGGTTTAAACCCAGATTTCAGTTTGAGTTTGTGTGCTTTTCAGCAGTTTACGGCCAACCTGAAGGACACCTTCAGTCACAGCAAGGGTGACCTCCATGCCAACCTCCTGCAAGGTGTCCACAGGACAATGCAAGAGCTACTTGGACAGGGGACCCCACTGTGACTAGATCTGGAAGGACCTGTTGCCTCTCTCCTAGTCCCCAGGGTGGGCCTGATCTTAACAGTCAGACTGTATTTAATCTAAAATGTAAAACACATCTTCTATGAGGATGAAATGAATACATCCTGAAACTCAGCCCATATTATACGAATCCTAAATCTTATATCGGAGAATAACTGCATATTTCTTACTCATGTCTGACAAGGGATCTTCCCAAGAAAGAATATCATGGGAAGAGAATCAAGACCAGCCTCTGCCTCACCTCTCTTACACCAAGACAAAGAACCAAGCATAAACTGAAGAGGTTATTTATACAATAGCAGCCAGGTCTTGGTCCCAGGTACAAACATATTAGCAATAATTAATAAAGCACAATTTAATAAGATCAGAAACAGAGACTTTCCTTAAAATGTCTCTTAAGAAATTATCCCATTTGTTCTAAGGAACTGAAACAGTAGAAGAATTGATGAGTTGATGTAAAAGTGAAGAAGATCTTAAAGATTATCTGATCATTCATTAATTCACTATGTCTTTACCAAACAAACAATGAAAGGCTTAAAACATAGTAAAATATGGGTCATTCTCTTAAGGCGTATTGAAACTAACAAAACAGATAGTAAAATATGTCCTTCTCAACAAACCCTTAGAAAGTGGCCAAAAAGACCCCCAAAGAGAAGGCAAGGGAAGGAATGGGTGTCATGTGCCAAGAACACACCAAGTGTTTCCACAGCATCGTCCTATTTCATTTTTAAATATATATTATTATTCCCTATTTTGCTGATGGATTTGCACATGATCACAGACATTGAGTGCTTTGCCCAAAAGCCCCCAGGACCCCCAGTACAGAAAAGCACCATGATCTTACAGTGGGGACTTTCCCAAGCTTCAAATGTCCCAAGAAATCTCCCAATTACTCTATTCTGACCAGTAAGTGACTCCTGGAGGAAAGGACATGATCTTAAAACAACTCCAATCAATGACAATTAGGTATGTTCACAGGTATCAGCTGACACAGTCATTAAAGAGGGAAATAAACATATTTAATGGGATTTAATCAGTATTCCCGGGTCTATGGCCTCATTGAGCAAGTGCTTAATGTATTATAAATAGATCATTTAAAGATCACTTTACAAAGCATTGGAGTAAATTGTGTAAGTAAATATTAAAATGTATAGCTACGAGAAAAGAAATCCGACATGACATGACAAGAGTGAACCCCTGTATCTTATCTTCAGATAGCATCAAAAAGTGCTGTGCTTCAAACAACTGGGACAAAATTCATGCCCTCCAACACCATGTGCTTTTGGAAAAAGTACTTTAGCTAACTGCAAAAGTGACACTAGGGAGAGAGAAACCATGAATGGCTAAGTGACATCAGGATAAAACTGTGTCATGAAGGCTGAGAGGGGAATAAGGCGAGTACTTTCAGCAGTAACTCAAGCAGAGATGGGAGACTTGACCCTGACAGCACCTTGGAGGGGTGGTCACTGGTGTGATGGGACTCCACTACCATGAGGGAAGGGGGAAGAGCCTTGATTTGGAGTAAACTTTGTCCCCCAGTGTTGTTTGCAAACGGACATCACCAGGTCCAGCTCAGAGCCCCAGGACCCAACCAAGCTTCCTGAATCAGAACCTGCACATCAGCAGGACCCCAGATGACTTATGTGCACATTAATGCTGCAGAATCACAGCAGCGGAGTGTGCCAGGTGTTGCTTTACCTCCTGGACAGCTGACTGTAAGGAAGGAGCAGAAGTCTGAGACTACAGGCTGGTGACTCAGGGCCTCATGGGCTCGCAGGGAGAGGAAGGACACAGGAAGTGACCGGTTCATCCCTGATGGTCCTCGCTCTTCAGGCTTCAAGGAGGGCAATTTCTATATGATATACATACATATTAAAATGTTTGTCATGTCCCCCAAATTGAAGCAATACAACCCATTGTGAGATTATACATGCATGTGTAGAGAGAGACTGTGAACTACATATATTTTATGTTAAGACTGTAAGGAGTATGAATGAAAAATACGGTATTTAAATTTTTAAAAATGTATTCATCGAAACACACACTGCCATTAATCTCTGTCAGAATACCCTTCTCAATTTCAACACATCTGTCCCACCATTCTTGCCACTTTCTGAAGCAGTTCTTGATGTCCTCTTTGGTATGTGTCTTTAGTGGCACTGTCCTGCCCACTCTGATGTCCTGAATTGATTCGGAACATTTGCCCTGCATGGTCATTTCCACTCTGGGGAAGAGTCAGGAGTCCCATGGTGCCTGACACCATGTCGTGTTTTTAGGAGCCGCCTTTCTGTTGACGGCACCAGAGAGCAGCAATCAAAGCATTTTTATCACATTTCAAAAGGACTCATGAGAGAGGACTTCCAGATCCACTTCTAATGTGGCAAGAACAATGAGTGTGCTCAACGCAGGGGGAAGTGTTTGAGGGGGCTGACGGCGATGTGTCTTTTGCTTTGCTAACATTTTAAAAACTATAACATTCACTGTAGTTTTGATCACAGGATTAATAGTAGATACACTACCCAAAGTGTGAGTGGTTATTCCTGGATGAATGTGTAGTTTCTGTATATAAACAGTATAAGTTAATTTTAAATATTAACCAGTGCTAGTCCATGAGAAGTCTCCTGATAAAGATCTCTTTTCCAGCTACTCTGTGAGGGTGCCTACAGTCTACAGAAATGCATCACACCTTTAAGACCTCACAGTTACTGCTGCACCTACTCGCATTCCAGCAGAGGCCGGTGCACCCTCTGGGGCCCTGAATAAACAATCTCTCTGTGAAAGCCTTGGTGGGAAATCAAGGCAGGGTAGACTTAGCAAACAAGGCCACGCTTCTACTCAGTGTTTACCTCTGGCCTTAATTCCTATCTCAGGGAGAAAAATCCCAAATCTGATGAAAAATTAGTGTCCAGGCATTGAATATGACCTCCACAAAAGGTAATTCTATCTTTATAAATTGTAATATCAATGATAACAAAGACAATGTAGCTAACATCTATATGTACTAATTAACATTTACTGAGTACTTAATCATTGGCAGAAATGCCTTTAGAATTTTGTATTTCATAGCAAACGAACCCAATTACAAACTAGTGATATTTATTTATTTTCTTAAAAAAGTAGTTCCATGTTGGGCGCAGGCGCTCAACATACCATACCCCACCTGGGACAAAGGACCACGCCAGCTTCCGCAATGGCTACGTCCCTCTTTAAATTAGCCAACCCGTGCGCACTTCGTGCTCACTCCATACTCTGTGGCAACTCCTGATTGGCCACAGCTGGATATGGTAGCCGGAGCCTGTGTCCCATTCCCGCCCTGCTTCCTCGTGGGAGCCTGTGATTGGTCACGGCCAAATATATAAACCAGAGCCCGCGTGAATAAAGCAGCAGTTAACTGTCATCCACAAGAGCGTCTCCTGTCTCCTGTTTCATTGGGGCTGCGCCGGTCAGTTCCACAGCACTGACTATAAACTATGGACTCTTCTGCAAGTATTAGTAATTTAATCCTCAAAATGACCTTCAAAACTACTATTATCATCCTTAGTTTACACAGAGATAAAATAACTTGCCTAAAGTGCAAAACTCAATAGAAGTAGAACAACAATTCAAAGAAGAGCAGTCTGGCTCTAAAGTTAATGCTTTTATAGCAACCCCAGTCTGTGTTTGTAACCACAGCTTCTTTGTGCAGATAGAAATGAGAGACAGGGAAATGATACGGCCCACGGGGGCAGAACTACGACCTGCACCTGGACCTCACAACACCCGGGTGGATGCTCCCGATGGAGACCTCCTTTACTCCAGACTGTGTCACAAGTTTTTAAAGATGGTATCCT